GCATGCCACTGACAGACGTGCCAGCAGCCTCCGCCAGGCAAGAAATCACGATGCGCGCCTGCGCCCTGTCTTCGGCAGCTTTCGCTTTCGACTCCTCCTCCTGGAGGTAATTCAAAAATATCTCAAACATGTGTCAAAGCTTTGCTCGGAAAACTCAGAACCATCAAAGGCTTGGAATGCCAAACAGTTGAGGGAGGCTTTCCCTCTCTCCCTCTTGAGGTTTTCCAGACTCTCTCCGCACGCTCTCCTGCTCAGAAGCCCGCATGAGCTGCAGCTCTTCTGCAGCATGGCTTTGAGAAGACTCGATCCTCGCATGGCAAATGCCGATGGCGTTCATGGCAAAGGCTTCCGAATCGAAGCCACTAGAGGAGGTGTCTCCACTCAGCTCACGAAATCAATTCATCCCACTGTCCTTAGTGCTTCCGCTGCCTTCACCTCACTCTGCAGCAACTCAGAGGAAAGCAGGTCGATCCTGGCAAAGGACCAGTGGCCACACACACACACACACACGGCCACACATAGCCACACACGGCCATGAGCTGGAAAGACCTTGATCCCCACCTCTCTCTGAAGCCCTGCTCCACGTCAGATTTGCTCTCTTCCAGGTCCGACCGCAGCTCCTCAGACTCCTTAGCAGAACAGTCGGCAAAATAATCGTTGCATGGCGCCATGGTCGTTGACTGCTCATGGCCTCTGCAGCCAAAAACATTCGGACTCGAAAACTTGTCTTCAGCCAGGTAGCTCGCACTTTGTCTGCAGCTGACCGAGCTTCCAGCTGTTCCAGCTGCCCCCGCACTCGCTCAGCCACCTCCTCCTGAGCGGCCACTTCAGCCTTGAGCATCACCACTGCACCGTCGAGCACCTGGAAAGCACACGATCCCGGACACACTAGCAACTTCAGCCAATCAAGAAATGCCGAAGCCCGCCGTCGCCCTGTCTTCGGCAGCTTTCGCTTTTGACTCCTCCTCCTGACGGCACTCAGACAATCTTTGAGAACGTGACTCAAAGCACTTCTCAAAGCGCGGTCAACGCACTTGCCAAACCACTTCGTGCACAATGTTGCAGGCCAACAAGCGAGGTCCCCCCCACTTGTAATGCGGGCCAACAAGTTGGACTGGCCCCTTGATGACTCGGCTCCCTCTTAAGGCTCTCCAGACTCTCTCCACTCGCTCTCCTGCTCAGAAGCCCGCACGAGCTGCAGCTCTTCTGCAGCATGGCTTTGAGAAGACTCGATCCTCCCGTGGCAAATGCTGGGCATGGAGTGCGTGATTGCTTGGATTCCGAATCTAGTTCACTTGCAAAACGGGGAAAAGGACAAAAGCTGAAAAATGTCGTCGGCTAGGCACTCACAGCTTCTCACATGGGATCAAAGGCTCCTCGCCGCTTCGGCTGCTGCCTCTTGCACCTCGCTGGTACTTTGCAGCAACTCAGAGGAAAGCAGGTCGATCCTGGCAAAGGACCAGCGGCCACACACACTCACACACACACACACACACTCACACATAGCCACGCACAGCTACACACGGCCACACCACTCGACATGGACCGATGTGCCCAGGAATCGGGCAATCACCAAAGCAGCCCACCAAAAAAAAAAACAATCCCCGCCTTTCTCTGAGGCCTTGCTCCAGATCAGATTTGCTCCCCTCCACGTCCGACCGCAGCTCCTTGTTCAACGTGGTGCCATGGTCGTTCGAGGGATTGCAAATGACTCATTGACTTTGGTTGGCCTCTGCCCAAACATTCCGACCCAAAAACCTTTCTTCAGCCGAGCAGCTTGCGCTTCGTCTGCAGCTGACCGAGTTTCGAGCTGTTCCAGCTGACCCCGCACTCGCTCAACCACCTCCACCTGGGCTGCCACTTCGGCGTTGAGAGCCTGCCGTCGCCATCTCTCTCGCAAACCACGCAAACTGCCAACTTCAGCCAATGAAGCGCGCCTTCGCCCTGTCTTCGGCAGCTTTGGCTCTTGATTCCTGCTCCTGGCAGGCACTCGAACAATCCTTCAGATCATCTCCAAGCACTTCTCAAAGCGCGGTCAACGCATCTCTCAAACCACTACGCATAAAGTTGTGGGCCAACAAGTTGGACTGGCCCCTTGATGACTCGGCTCCCTCTTAAGGCTCTCCAGACTCTCTCCACTCGCTCTCCTGCTCAGAAGCCCGCACGAGCTGCAGCTCTTCTGCAGCATGGCTTTGAGAAGACTCGATCCTCCCGTGGCAAATGCTGGGCATGGAGTGCGTGATTGCTTGGATTCCGAATCTAGTTCACTTGCAAAACGGGGAAAAGGACAAAAGCTGAAAAATGTCGTCGGCTAGGCACTCACAGCTTCTCACATGGGATCAAAGGCTCCTCGCCGCTTCGGCTGCTGCCTCTTGCACCTCGCTGGTACTTTGCAGCAACTCAGAGGAAAGCAGGTCGATCCTGGCAAAGGACCAGCGGCCACACACACTCACACATAGCCACACACAGCTACACACGGCCACACCACTCGACATGGACCGATGTGCCCAGGAATCAGGCAATCACCAAAGCAGCCCACAAAAAAAAAAAACAATCCCCGCCTTTCTCTGAGGCCTTGCTCCAGATCAGATTTGCTCCCCTCCACGTCCGACCGCAGCTCCTTGTTCAACGTGGTGCCATGGTCGTTCGAGGGATTGCAAATGACTCATTGACTTTGGTTGGCCTCTGCCCAAACATTCCGACCCAAAAACCTTTCTTCAGCCGAGCAGCTTGCGCTTCGTCTGCAGCTGACCGAGTTTCGAGCTGTTCCAGCTGACCCCGCACTCGCTCAACCACCTCCACCTGGGCTGCCACTTCGGCGTTGAGAGCCTGCCGTCGCCATCTCTCTCGCAAACCACGCAAACTGCCAACTTCAGCCAATGAAGCGCGCCTTCGCCCTGTCTTCGGCAGCTTTGGCTCTTGATGCCTGCTCCTGGCAGGCACTCGAACAATCCTTCAGATCATCTCCAAGCACTTCTCAAAGCGCGGTCAACGCATCTCTCAAAACACTACGCATAAAGTTGTGGGCCAACAACCAGAGGCCCCCTTGCATGACTCGACTCCCTCTTAACGATCTCCAGACTCTCTCCACGCGCTCTCCTGCTCAGAAGCCTGCACGAGCTGCAGCGCTTCTGCAGCATGGCTTTGAGAAGACTCGATCCTCCCGTGGCAAATGCTGGGCATGGAGTGCGTGATTGCTCGGGTTCGGAACCTAGTTCACTTGCAAAGCGGGTCAAAGGACCAAAGTTTCAATCATGTCGTCGGCTAAGCACTCACAGTTTCTCACATGTGACCAAAGTCTCCTCGCGGCTTCCGCCGCCGCTTCTTGCACCTCGCTAGTACTTTGCACCAACTCAGAGGAAAGCAGGTCGATCCTGGCAAAGGACCAGCGGACACACACACACACACACACACACCCCACACGCACACGCACACACACACGCACGCACACGCACACGCACACGCACACGCACACGCACACGCACACGCACACGCGCACGCGCACGCGCACGCGCACGCGCACGCGCACGCGCACGCGCACACGCACACGCACACACTCACACATGGCCACACACAGCTACACACAGCTACACACAGCTACACACGGCCGCACCACTCGACATGGACCGATGTGCCCAGGAATCGAACAATCACAAAAGCAGCATACACACACACACACACACAAAAAAAAAACCCAAAAAAATACAAAAAAATCCCCGCCTTTCTCTGAGGCCTTGCTCCAGATCAAATTTGCTCTCCTCCACGTCCGACCGCAGCTCCTTGTTCCACGTTGCGCCATGGTCGTTCGAGGGGTTGCAAATGACTCATTGACTTTGGTTGGCCTCTGCCCAAACATTCCGATCCAAAAACCTTTCTTCAGCCGAGCAGCTTGCGCTTCGTCTGCAGCTGATCGAGCTTCCAGCTGTTCCAGCTGACCCCGCACTCGCTCAACCACCTCCTCCCGGGCTGCCACTTCATCGTGGAGCACCTGACGTCGCCATCTCCCTCGCACACCACGCAAAACTGCCACCACCCAAACGCGCGCAAGGCCCTCCTTCCGCACTCTCAACTTAGGTCAATGAGGCGAGCCTTCGCCCTGTCCTCGGCAGCTTTGGCTCTTGATGCCTGCTCCTGGCAGGCACTCGATCAATCTTTCAGAGCCTCTCAAATCCCTGTTAAGGCTCTCCAGACTCTCTCCACTCGCTCTCCTGCTCAGAAGCCCGCACGAGCTGCAGCTCTTCTGCAGCGTGGCTTTGAGCAGACTCGATCCTCCGCTGGCAAATGCTGGGCATGGAGTGCGTGATTGCTCGTGTTCGGAACCTAGTTCACTTGCAAAGCGGGGTAAAACACTCGCCGTGCACTGGCAGTTTTTGCCATGTGACCAAAAGCTCCTCGATGCTTCGGCTGCTGCGTCTCGCACCTCGCTGGTACTTTGCAGCAACTCGGAGGAAAGCAGGTCAATCCTGGCGAGATGCAAGGCTGAAGCCAGATCAGAGCCATACAAGAGCCAAGCACAAGTCTGACTAATACAAGTCGTGCAGAGATTGTTCAAATGTCGCAAGTAAGCCAACCACGAAAAACTGGGTGATTGCTTTTTTTTGAAACTAGTTACCTGCTTACTCGCAATTCTTAGTGAATCAACCGTATCCCTGGACCAAATGCTCCTTGCCTCTCTCTAAAATCTTGCTCTGCAGCTCGGGCTTTGCTTTCCTCCGACTCGAGCCGAAGCTCCTAGGAGTCGACAAGATGATTTATTTTGAGACCAACCGGCTGTCTCTGTGTGGGTGTGTGTGTCAAACCTCCTCTATAGACTTTGAACCCAGCAAAAAGTCAACGTGCTACCCAAAGACTGGTCTTCAGCCGAGCAGCGCGCACTTCGTCTGCAGCTGACCGAGCTTCCAGCTGTTCCAGCTGACCCCGCACTCGCTCAACCACCTCCTCCTGGACTGCCACTTCGTCGTTGAGCACCTGGCGTCAACATCTCGCTCAAAAGCAACGCAAACTCCTATCCCAGCCGCCAGAGCTGCCAGCCGTGCCAGCCCCACTCCCGTGACTGCCAATCAAAAAGGTACCCTGCCTTCGCCCGGCCTTCGGAAGCTTTGGCTCTTGATGCCTGCTCCTGGCAGGCACTCAAACGATCTTTCAGAGCAAGCACTTCTCGAAGCGCATTACATCAAACCACTTCGCGCACAATGTTTTGGGCCAACAAGCACGAGGGGCCCCGTTGCAAGACACGGCTCCCTCTCAAGGCTCTCCAGACTCTCTCCACACGCTCACCTGCTCAGAAGCCCGCACGAGCTGCAGCTCTTCTGCAGCATGGCTTTGAGAAGACTCGATCCTCCCGTGGCAAATGCTTGGCATGCCGAGTGCGTGATTGCTCGGGCTCCAATTCAATCGCACAGCAGGGTAGAAGACTCAAGGTGCCGTCGGCTAGGCGCTCAAAGTCACAAAGTGTCTTGTCATATGTGACCAAAAGCTCCTCGCCGCTTCCGCTGCCGCCTCTTGCACCTCGCTGGTACTTTGCAGCAGCTCAGAGGAAAGCAGGTTGATCCTGGCGAAATGCAAGGTTGAAGCCGAAACTGGGCCGCAAGCCTCTGCAACACAAGTCGTGCGGTGGACGCCGAAACTGTGAATGATTGTAGGAACTCCTCAGCTGCCTACTCACAATCCTCAATGAATCAGTGAATCAACCCTTTCCCCATCCTATCACGGGACCAAATGCTCCTGGCCTCTCTCTAAGACCTTGCTCTGCAGCTCGGGCTTCGCTCTCCTCCGACTCCAGCCGAAGCTCCTAGGAGCTGACATTTTGAGACCAAGTGGCTTCGACCCCAAAGAGTCAACTTGCTGGTACCAACGGAAAATGAAGGTAACTCAAACGGGGAAAAAGCAAAAAGGCCAGATAATCTGGCAATAAAACCAGGGACCTTTGGGAAAGTGTCTGAAAACTTTTGGCCGAGGCCCCATTGACCAGCCAAGAAAAAGGGGTCCAACTTGTCGCCCATGCCAGCTTGGCAAAGCTGCCCTCGTGCAGAAACAGCTGCCCGCTTCCACTTTTGTTGCAGGAAGAGGTGCATCCGTCTCCAGAACTCACATCAGCCCCCCCCCCCCCCATGTGCAGGTGTGTGCCTCTTCCCGACCAAAGTCTGTATGGGTGGCTCGTCTTTTTGTCCCAACACCCCCCCCCCCCCGCCCCGCGAAACATGTACATGTATATATATATGGTGATTTTCCGTTTGGTCTCCCTTTCAACCACAAAGAAAAGAAGTGGTGCCATGACAACCCTTGTCCCATCTGAGGCCACTTGTGAGGCGACTCTCACTTTGAACAGATTCGCACGAGCTGTGGAGTGCCCAGGTGTGTGATCATTAAAAAGGGACGGAGGTTCAAACCTCGCTGGTGCGATGGATAGGAAATGACCGCGGGTTTAGGAATGAACCGCAAGGGGATTCCCTGAAAGGAAGCCATGGCTGGGTTTTCTCTCGGGGTCCCAACTCATTCCCTGAGCACCGGGGAAGCGCCAAGACGCACTCCGCCGGAGCTCTTCCAGCGCCTGGAACTCCGATCGCCTGCGCAGGATCCACGAGGTCTGACACACGGCCGGGGGGATTTCTCAGGTCGAAATCTTAGCTTGAGGGCAACACCCCCAAATACGGCTCGTTATAGATGTAGAGCTTGCTATGTGGCGGGGGGGGACTCTTGCTGTATGGGTAAATCCTTTATATACAGTAAACCCTAGGGGTCTGACAAAACAAGAGTCAGGCTTGTGTGAAGGCAAATCAAGAGGAAACCCATGTTGAGTTGTTTTTGTTCCTTGACTTGTCCCTTTCAGTTTGGCTGTACAAAGCACCCAAAGGAAACGCGCTCATAGGTTCACTCATTTTGACACCATATCCAATTGGGTGTCTGTTGTAGGGGACCTGTTCTCTTGGTTTTCCTTTGACGAAAAAAGGGGCACACCAAGCAAAAACACACCCATTTACGGGAAACGGCTGTTTTTGGGGCCAGCCTCTTGGAGTGTGGATTGGCCGTGGAAAATAAGGTTCCTTCTTTCTTGGCTATTTTCAACGAAACCAAACGCAACAGAAAGAAAAACAAAAGATAAAAATGGGTTAGTTGTCAGACCAAATCCTCTTCTTGGTAAAACTTTTTAGAAAGGGGCTTTCGCTGGGTTGCTAACCCTCTTAAACGCGGAAGATACCTCCCAAAACACTCCCAGGTGGACAAGCTTAAACCAGATTTATCACGCTTTTCTCACGCTGCGATTTGAAAACCACTTTTCAGCACCCACCTCCCACGAAGTTTTCGGAACAGCAAGGTGAAAAACAATTCCCAACAACTGAAAGTGTTGGGGTCTCCCCTCCCAAAAAATCTGGGGTTCGTTTAGCTTTCAGTGAGGGTGGGTCCATGTATTGTTGGGAATAACCCCCTAACTTCACAGACTTCTGGGCCCGCAGTGGAGGGTGTTTGTTGCCTTTAGCCCTGCTTGCGTGCCAAGGGGGGCAAACTTTGGGCGATATCCTTTCTTCTCAGGGTCGCGAATTCACCAACCAGTTGATTCGCACGGCGGATGTCCCCCATATTTTGCCCCTGTACCTGTTTTGTTTCGGACGCTGGCATTGGGTGTTCCAGGGTTTGACTGTAAAATCGACTCGACTTGTCCATAGCACGGTGAGGCTAGTTGATCCGGCATCGCCCGTGCCCTGCCTGGGATCCAGCTGCGCCTGTCAAGCAAAGGGTCTGTCCACCAACAGCTTGACCGAGTCTTTAAAAGGTTTGGGGAACGAACTCCCTCATTAGAGAACCCGAATGATTGTATGCATTCCCTTGTAAGGGGTCCCCACCCCAAGCACGAGAGCACGGCATCCCGGACCTTTTCCTGCCGATTCGCCACTTCCGGACGTTCAGCACCTGTCACCAGCCCTTTCCACTGGCACCAGCTCCCCGCCGTTCTTGACCCGGCTCGCCCCCTGGCGGTTGCCGCGCAGCGTCAGCGCGGAGATTTCGACTCGGGTGTCCTCCATCACGGCGAGGCCCGACAGGCCACTGCCCTCCACCACCACATCTGACAAGGAAGCCTCGACGTTGTTGCGGGCCAAGATTCCGTCAAAGGGCCCTGGTATGGCGTCGTTGTCGCCCAGAAATTTGCCATTCTCGCTGAAGACGCTGCAGGAGCAGCGCGCCTGAAGCGGCTCGTCGCCCATCAGCGGTCCGAAAAGCACCGCGCCCTGGCGAGCGCAGTCGTGCACTCGACACCTCTGCAAAGAGACGCGGCCACCCTCGGCCGCCACTCCAGCGCCGGTGGCGGAAGTGACATCGCAGTCCTCCAGGGAGAGATCGCCCCCCGGGGAGTAGATTGCATAGTTGTTGGCCACGCTCTTGCCCGCGTGTTTCACATTGAACCCCCGCATCGTAGCTCGCGAGCCCCGCTCTGCAGTGATCACGGCTTCGTAGGGGCGCTCCGTCTCCCACACCAGCGTCGCTCCGCCAGCAGGGCGGGCCTCCAGCGTCAACTGGGGGCCGCGGGGTAACAGCAGCTGCTCTCGATACGTGCCTGGCACCAGGGTTGCATCCAACAGGCCGCGACCCGACCGAAAGAAGCCCAAGAACATGGGTGGCTTAAGCATGTCTAGGCGCCCCTGCCTGCCGCCACAGACACAAGCGCGGTGCCACAATCCTTTGGCATGGCCTGCAGCGCCTCCGCGAGTGTGGCGAAGCAGTTGGCTGAGGAGCAGTCACGCCCCACTTCCGCCGTCCAGCCAGCTGCCCCCGTCGCTTGCGCCGCTTCGGCCGACGCCAACGCCGCCAGGGTGCCGGCGAGACCCCGGCGAGACAGCGGGCCAGGCACATCTTGGAGCACATATGCATGCTGCCAGGCAAAGGCGGCTAGCCCAAGGCAACATGCCTGCAGAACGGTAAACTTTCTGGGCGCTAGATTGCGCGCTCCAGCAAATGCCGCCCGGAAGCGCCCTGGGCGAGCCATACAGAAGAGTCCACGATGTTTCACTTTCATGAGAGGTCCTCAAAATGAGTGGAATCTAAATTACTGTTGAAGTTTCACCGTCCCAGCCACCCTTTGGTTCTGGCGCTTTGGGGTTTTCCCTCAGACTGACTCAGACTCGCAGAGTGCGTGGCCTGGTGCATGTGGGTGTTGCACACTGCTCGCGGGATCTGTTTCGGTTCTTTTGAGAAGTGCGCTTCCTGCTCACGGCTGCTGGAGCCTCCGGTCAAACCCCCGCCTGGAAGTCAACACACGAAAATGGAGTAGTTTTAAAGTTGTTTAGATCAGACACAGACCCCGAGGGGTGATTATACTTAAGCTTATTTGAAAGCGGCCATAAGAGGCCGCCTGTGTTGGAAAAACACCAAGTTCATGTCGAGCAAAAGCTTGTTCCGAGACGTGGCCCGTGCAAACATCACATGTCAAAAGGATGCCTCAGATTCGACCTTGGCCCAACCTTTCTTAGCAGCGGAAGTGACCTGTTCGCAGGTTAGAAGAAAACACGGAGGAAGACCCCAAATGGGACGACATGGCAAAAAGGCCAGGTCAGTCTGGCAATTGGAGCACATGCCTGGAGAGATCTTTAGGCGGAGACCAAACAGTTTGGTGGACATTAGACACATGTGAGTCGGCGTCAAAATTACTTGGCTGGGATGTATTCATTCCGACGTTCGGATGTTCTTTTTCTGTTTTACCAGGCTTTTCGTTCAGGTTTCGGGGTACCGTGTGCATTCTGTCCACTCACGTTACAGAACTGGTGGACAAATCCATTCCCATAGCCCTCATGGAACTTTGCCGTCAGTCTGGATGCCTTGGGGACGCTCTGCTTTGGTTTTTCCATCAGATATGGGCGGCGGCTTGTTTGGTCATCTAGGTCCTCCAGTAGAGAGGTTAGAATAAGGGTACATGTTTGTTTGTTTTTTTTGTAGTCTATTTTAGTAGGGGAACCCTCCCCCAAACAAGGAATCAGAAAGGGCACTACTGAGGGACCTAGTCATTAAAAAAAAAGGAGAAAAAAATGTTCCACCACCGAACCCCTTTGCCTGCACTCCTTTCCTCCGCACGATCCCTCGCCGCTCGCTCGCTCGCCGAAAGCCGGGCTGTCTCCGGGGCGGGAGGGCGGGAGGGCGGGAGGCGAGGCTGGCTGAAGCACGAGGCTCAGTCGCAAGCCGCAAGCGTCCTTGCAGGGCGCCCGTTTCAATGGGCCGAGAAAGGCGGGTCTTGTTGGAGAGCCCCCTTTTAGACTTGAATGGCGTTGGGTCAAAATTCATCAGCTGGGGTTACGCAGGTCTTAGTCTTTGGCTTCATCTACCAGGGTGCCATTCTTGGTACATGTTTTTGAGCCGCAGCCGAATGGAAACCAAGACAATCACACAAAACCTGTAGTGCACTTCATCTGGAAGGAAGGAATCTGCACCACTTTGCGAGAGCCTGATGATAATGAGCGGCTAACAATAGAATCCCATTTTCTTTGACTAGCAAGTGGGAAATAGAGGCCTTACTATAACCCAATGAAGCAGGTAGAACTATCCAATGTTAACCCCGGATTACACCTGCGCTATTTTTGGGGGGTCTTCCCTCTTAAAAGAGATGAACCCCACCAAAAGGAGACAGTTTTCTACTGTGGGCGGACGGAAGCCTGACTTTGAAACCATGGAGAAACCTTGTTTGTTGGCATTTGCAGGGGAATCATCATTCCGGGTTTCTTAAGTGGTGCAGGATTTTGTCCACCCACAGTGTGAATCCACCGATCCGGGGATTCCACTAACAAGCGCCACCAGGTCCTCCACGGCCGCCGTGGCCATGCCTGTCCAGTCCAGCGATGCGCATCACACAACGCGCTTCGCTCTTCATGCCAGGCCGTAGACCGTCACCGTGCTTCTCCAGGTGGCATCCATCACTTCACCTAGACTCACCTCGGAATGCATATGGGTGTGCCTTGTTTGTTAGGAATCGGACGCCCTCCCAAACAAAAATGGTGTCTTTTTCTGTTGGCGTCCCTTTAATCCGCCATAAAAGGGGGTCTCCACAAAAAACGACAGACCCATATCAACAGGCGAAGGCATTTGCTAGTTGAAATGGGAAGCTCCTTCCACACCGTAAGGCTTGCAAGCCTTGCTCGCCAAGCAGCGCTCTTCCATTCCGCAATCCGCTCCTCACACCGAAGAGCAAATCGTCCCCAGTGCGAACTGGCACTTTGGCAACCGACGAAACTCTTGCAAAAGTCATCTGCGGGCTTGGGCTAAAACCAGCATGATGAAGGTCAATTTCAGGGCTTCGCTTGTTTTCGCTTTCTGAATTATTGCAGCCTAGCAGACATGTCCAATTGGACCGCTGCTAGGCGTTCTCATAAACAAAAGGGAAGGCATGTGTCAAAATGCATCCCCAAAACAGGCGGTCTCTGGTTTCCCTTCAACACCAGCCTAAAAAAGGGGGTTCGCCTCAAAAAAATGAGATGCACCCAAACCACTCTCAGTGGGTTTTGCCGGGTGCAGTCCCAAAAAACCCGAGTTCAAGGCCAAGGCTCCGCCACGCGATGCACATGTCCCGGATGCGCCGTTTGCCCTCGGAAGGGCTCTGGGCACATGTACGGCCCGTCCGTCTCCTAGGCGCTCGCTCAAAATTCTGGCCATCGGTTCGATAGGCAGGGAAGGAGAATTGGAATGACCCCTATAAAACCAACTGCACTTGGGTTTCCTTTCAGGGAACCCCCTTCCCGTTCATTCCAAAAACCCCGGAAGGTCTTCCCCTACTGAGCACCAGCAAGAAAACCTGCAACTCTTTGCAACCCACGATCTGCTTGACTGTTGTTGCTTCTGGGTACTACCCCCAGTTTTCTTTACCGGGTGTCTTTGGGCTCTGTTTTGTTTCTGCTCTTTGCCCAAGAGATGGTGGGTCAAGATTCTCTGGATCTGCATTGTTAAATGTGACCACCAGAAAGAGCTCCTCATCCCAACGGTCAACAAGGGGACTTGGTCCCTGCACCTCGCCAACCAAGAAGTCAAGTGAGGCTCTACATTGTTCCCCATGCACACATTCAAGCAACCATGTAGCAGAATTGTTGGAACCCTAAAAGATTGGCGGGTTTAGCTCCAACTCGTTGCATTTCGTCTAGGAAGTTACTATATTTCACAACTCAGCAATACGAAGACCGATTTGTAAGGGGCCTTCGTGCTCGTTTTACCGCCCCCTAAATGCAACGTTTGCTGGTTGCTTCGAGTTGCCGTGAACTCCTCACGTTGTTGAAAAGTTGTGTGGAACAAATATGACGGTTTCCATAATGTTGGTTTTCCATGTTCCCCCATCCTTCTCTTGGGAAACGTGAGAGAATTCCCTGGGTGTTTGGCAATCGTCTGAGAAGGATCCCCCCCTTCTCAAATGTGTTTAAATATGTGTGTTAAACAACTATTGTGTATGCGAATATTGTTTAAACAACTATTGCCTAAGCAACCTCATTTTGCGTTTTCTTCGAAGCGGGAGGGGCTGGTTGGTTGAACAAGCTTTGCACCCTGATCCCCAATCCCTGAATGCAGAAGCAAGGTATCGTCGGTGAGCTGTCACAAGGTACTATCCTGATCACTAACGTGGAACCTGACTGGGCAGTCCTGGAAGACCATGTCCCCACCCTCTGGGTTCCATGTTGGTGGATGGAGGGTAGTGCGGTAGAGGATTCCCGGTGAAGGCAAACCGAAAGAAGTACAGCGGGGTTGGGAATTGCCACCA